TCCACCATTACTACGACAACCGGCTCCCAACGCCGAATGTTCACAACATGCCCGATGAGTTCATCCGCTACCTGGGCTTGCACCTGCAAGGGGCGCTGCGGCTACACGTCGGGCGCTGCAGGTGAGGGCCCGGCCTGTGGCCGTGCACCAGATGCAGAGGCGACAGCGTGGCTGGAATTACCTCAGGAGCACGGATTAGCTGCAGGTCTCATCATGGGGATCTGAAATGAGTCCCTGCGCCCCTCAATTCCATCTCCCTCCCTTCCCCCCTTAGTTAGCAAAGACTGATTCATTAGGCATTTGTTAATTTCCATGCATTAATTGGCTTCTGATTAGTGATCTGAGATGGGCAAAGTTCATTAATAATTAGTACTCTGACCTCCTTTACTCATTATTTCATTATCCCATTTCCTTAGCTGTCCCTTGTCGGCTGGCCTGCTCAGAGCCATTGAATTAGGGCAGTTCCTTTATTGCCATGCGTAAGTCATCATCTCTTCATTGTTCTCTAATGATCATGGTCTGTTGGTCACTCATCCTCAGTTGGCAGCCTGGGGTGGGTGTTTCACCCTGAAGGTCCTTATATGCAATGAGTGAGACACCAGCTGGGTTCCACTAATTAGAGCTCATTGGCCAGCAGTTTTCATTCCAGGTGGTCCATGGAGTGCTCTTTCCTGGACTCTTCCTTTCTTGCTTAGTCATTAATCATGAGTCATCATTCCCCAGGAGCTGCCCCAGTGCTGGGTGACTTGTAAACTCCTTCCCCACCCTTGACTGTGTTTATTTAATCATGGGTCAGCACCAGGCTGCGGGTGGAAGGTTTTTTTTAGGGTCTTTTCACCCGGCAAGTTTGGTCCCTGGTGGCTTTTGCAGTTGACTATAACTGTAATGACCCGGATCACTTGAAGCCTATGGGCGAGGCGAGTTGTGGACTAAACATAATGACCCATAGGGTCCCTTCCAGTCCTCTGGGCCTATGATACCAGCCTTTTACTGCTGCTGGCCAACATCAATCACCCCAAAGACCCAGAGGCAGCGTCCGTCCTTAGAAAGGGGCAGGCTTCCAATCCCGAGGAGCATGCACTGGGGGAAAGTTGTTGAGTTTCACATGCTTATCTTGAAAAAAAAAACCAGCAATCTAGGACAGGCATGTCAAATTGAAGCCTACTGGGGCCGCACAAATGAAAACTGATAGCTTTCAGGGCCATCACAGAAAATGTACTTCTATTGGAAAGTCATAATTATTTATTATTATAGATTGTTTTAAGTATATTTTATAATATGTTTTCAGGTCTTGTTTTAATATAATACAATAATTTGATGTGTAAAATTGTTATTTGCTCATATAAAATAATTTTTAATTTAAATATAAATGTAAGGTATTTTTTCATTTTTTATGTGATACATAACTTGTTTTGTTGAAATAAAAACAAGTATAGACTGTGGTTAATCAAATAGAACAAGCTTCTGTGAAAATTTCAGATACTTTGTAAGTTTGAGATTTTGCATAAACATATAATATTCATGCAATTGCAAAAAATTGACATATATTTATTGGTATAAAATTAATATACATTTTGTGATTGTATTTGGGATTAAATAAATAAAAAATAAAATATTAACAAAATAACCACTACCTCCCCCCCAGAGCCAGGTACTCCCATATCCCCATTCTAACCCAATCCCCCTCCGCTTCCCCAGAGCACTGCCCCCCTCTCTAACCCAATGCCTCCTCCCTCCCCCAGAGCCAGGCACTCCCAGCCCCCCCCCCACCCAACCCCCCCCCCCGAGCCAGCCCTC